AAACCTTGCAAATCAATATCTTGATATTCATACCACAATACAAATTTAAAATTCACTAATATTCATCAAGACCGCACAAGAGCAATAATAATGGCTTTATTACAAACAGTTACTTTTGATACAATATGGAAATTTCAGCAGGTAATACAATATTGCATCCAATTTTCTCTTTACATTAAGCAGTGTAAAGGGAAATAACTGACAGGGCGTTTACATTAATATTATTATTCAATAAGAATATGAATACAGAATTAAAATTTGAGTGGAAATATTAACAAGAATATATTGATGAAAGAAAGGATAAAAAGTGCCACTCACTTAGTGTTCTGCAGTAAGTTAGAAGTGTCATGCCTTACACTTTTCTCATCATATAAAATGTGTCCCAGCTAAATAAGGGAGGTTTTATACTCACTCGTCCAAGCATAAAGTATTCTATAGTTACTTCTAGTCCCACACAATGAGATGCAAGGAGAGAGTTGTGTATAGAGAGGATGCTCAGAGTCTGACAAGATGATATTCTCCAATTTCTTGCATGAGTTCAAGTGTTTGTCTACAGCAGTATTAACAAGTTGGTTTAGCGACACCCCACTCACCCTACTGACTGCTATTAAAACCCTTCACAGCGTAACAAAGTCTTCCTTAAGTTGTCCGCGAAAGACTAAGGGGGAGCAGTAAAGAAGTATAGGCTGGATACAAGAATTAACAAACTGGTGACAGTGGAGACTGGGTGATACCGGATTGTCTTAACTTACTTACATAGAAGGTTAGACGAAATATCTTCCTAGAAACTAACATTATGTGGGAAGGCCAGTAAAGATCAGAGAGAATACACAGTCCAGAGTACTTGACATTTTATTTACTTTCGTCTTCAATGTCATCTATGATACTAGAATCAAGGGAACGAACGAGTTCATGTAAGTTGCGCTTGTGTCTGAAAGTGAAGTTAACAACCTGACATTTGGAGGGATTTAGCTTAAGACCATTTGACGAGGACCACTGACTAATTTCTGATAAATAGTTATTCATTTAGGAACAATCTGACTGAGAAATAACCGGTATGGAAACAGTCAGATCATCAGCATACTTAACAAAATTGGCTTCATTAGAATGGGGCAAGTCATGAGAGAAATAAGAAAACAGAAAAGGAGAAAGAACAGCTCCTTGAGGAATGCCAGCTAGAATAGGTAAAGTAGCGAGAGACTTTCCTTAATATGCAGTGTACTGCCTCCTATCAGAAAAGTAAGAATGCAACCACTTATTAGTCCAACACTCTGCTTGTGTCACATCAAGCTTGTTTAACAAAGGAGGCGTAGGTACAGAGTCGAAGGCAGATATCTAATCAAGGATGGCACACCGAACATATTTATTCCTATTGTCTAAAGATACAAAATTATGATGTAAGACAACATTGGCATCTGAAGTACACCTGCTATGTTTATAAATGAATTGTTTGAGGTCGTTAAAAGCTTTCGGTGAAGGTTAAGTGAAAGCAGTTTTTAAAATAGTGAGGTAACAGTAATAGATCCAAACTTAACACTTGATGAGTGAGGCACAGGTATAATTTTAATATCCTTCCAAGAAGCAGACACAACAATAATGGTGAATGACTCATTGGAAATACCAGTGAGAGGACAACGTAACATGTCTGCACATTTTCTGAGGATATTACTGGGCACACCATATGAGCCAAGGAACTGGCTGGCTTTCAAGGATTGCAGACACTTGTGAACGTCGTTACTATTAAAACCAGAAAAGTCGTCATTCTTTACACTTGTAACATTTGAAATCATAACATCTGCTGCACGACATATGAAGTTCTAAACGTGGAAACCACACGAAATACAAGCAGTATTTCTAAATGAAAATGCTCAATTTACTTTAAAATCTCAGGTTCTTTATTAGCAGTGTTTCTGTTTTCTCCGACATACACTAAAATTTAACCCTGTTACCAAATAGTACAATGGCATATGCCATCAACACGTGTAAACAAAAGCTAATTAACACTTTCACTGATAAGTGTGCCGACATTCTTCAGTCATTAAGTCATATTAACACCTCCTAAATTTCGCCTGAAATTCCATTTTTTACCTGAGTAAAGATGAAACTAGCGACCACTGGACGGTTATTTCCTCCTAGTTTGGGACTTCTCACTAGTACGCACCCACCACCCCACCGCCAGGGATAGAAACCCTGACATTCAAGTTCCAAGGCCAGCTAATTAACCATTCAACCACTAGGATAGAATCGACCGGCTCATAAATTCGAACTCCTATCATTTCACGATTTTTAGCGACATCACCAGCCAATGTCATTGGTGAGTATTTGTTGTCATACCCGACCTGATGGACCCCACTAGTCACGACTTGTCAGTAGAACTCTAGACAACTTCATCCTGTAGTCAGTCGTTAATGAACGGCCGATTAATTTTCAAGTGTTAGTTTGTACGAATTGGATTGATTTCATGTTTAATCACGGATTGATATCAGTTAGAGAAATATTGGAAACCAGGTAGTACTGGACAGTTGTTTCGTCCTAGTTCGTGACTGCTCATCAACACGCACCCATGACTCCACCGCTAGCGATTCCTAGTTTTCAATGATTACCTAACTACTGTTAATCCATGATCAAACTTGAGACCAATCACAGCAATCATTACTATTATGGCTTGAAAATACCGATATACAGAAAATGAACGATTCTTGTCCTAAAACCAAATACTTGGCTGAGCGTTTTTTTGTTGGTATTGTAAAAGAAGTTGTGCAGTGATAGCGTATTTAAAATCCCTGGAAACGAATTAAATTAACCTTCTTAATTATATAGAAATCAGGCTATGCCAAACACATAAATTGTGATTGAGGAATAGAGTAACTTATTCAACTTTAACTGGTTGGAGGATTTCATCATGAGCTGAAATCGGTCAGAGAACCATTGGAAAACCAACACTATAGTACTGAATAGCTTTTTCATCCTAGTTTCGCACTCTTCACAGTACGCACTCACCACCAGGATTTGAACCCAAGACCTCCTGGTTACAAGACGAGCTAGCTCGTAAACCATTAAGCCAGTGGAACCCGATCCAATGGCCAGTCCATAACTTCTAACTTCTGGCTATTCATGACATAGCGCGACCACTTCTAAGTGTCTTCTTCGATGAGTTACTGTCTCACTTTTGACCTGCTGTACCCTATTGGTCACGGCTTCCCACCAGAACCCCAGGTCACTGCCTGAATAGGGCCAGTCGCTTATGCCATATTCACGAAGTTAGGATTCATGGACCACTGGATCGGGTCCCAGTAGCTTAGTGGTCTACGAGCTCGCCTTGTAACCAGAAGGTCCTGCGTTCAAAGTCCTGGTGGTGGGTGCGTGCTGTGAAGAGTCCCAGGCTAGAACGAAACAGCTGTCCAGTACTCCCAGCTAGCTTTCCAATGGTTCTCTAACTGATGTCAGCTCATGATGAAATCCTCCAACCAATCAAACAAAATTCTCTTCAAAACCAATACACTAGAAAATTATTCAACTTTAGTTAAATAGTAGGAATTATATTTCGCATCACCAAACAACGAACACATTACATTGAATAGGAAAAAATTAAATCATGCGATTAATCGAGGTAAACCAATAACAAATAAGTAGCCGAATACATTAAGATATGAAATTTTCTCCAACAGCTGGCAAACAAAGGACAAAAGAATATGCTTGTTCAACTGGATATGGTTTTGTTAGTAAGATAAAATGTATACAGACAAATCCATCTATCAATAGAAACAATCGAGGGTGGGTAGACTTCAGTCTTCCTGTAGAAATGCTCTCATGTAGCCACACGTTTATAGCTTCTGCTATACTGCATTCATGCGGCATGGGTGTCCCTCACAAAAGTGAAAGGGAAAATGCGACGACGGTCTGGCGCTTACAACCGAACTGGTGGATATCCAGGTACATGTACTCCAGAATCGAATGGCTTATGAACCTGTTTCGATCACCATCAACCATGGCAGTGCAGCTCCACTGCACTTTAGAACAAACCTGAAGTCAAATGCTTGAAGGACTGATGGTCCCTTAAGACAACCATCTGCTTCGATCTGAGTCACCGAGTAGCATGCCGATCTTGTGTGGAGCACCTCTTGATGGCCGTAATGTTGTACCAAGTTTTTGTTTTAATAAAATAGTTGATAATAAGGAAACGGTTGTCGTGAAATTATTGATTCTCTTTCTAATGTAAACAACAACTCGATCCTTTTCCTGACTATTGATAAACTAGATTACAATCGACACTGAAAAGAAACTCGTATATCCTTTAAAATATGGAGACAAGACAGAGTATCTAGATACTCTAATATCTAGTTTCAAAAGCAACTTTAAGATGGACAATAATCAATGACCGCTGGTATTTCACATAACACTTTCGAACAATGGTTAAAAGTAGGATACTGTGGTTATATCTATACGCCTCTTACAGGTATACAGTTTGAACTTTATGCAGTCAGACAATAGTACTTATTCATGAAAGCATTTCACCTTATCAAAAAATAATAAATGTAAAATTGTATATTATCTAAAAAAATAAAGTTAGTAAGCAAAAAACGCTGTGTGGTAACATGAAATTTATCTATATTATGTTTGTACTTGAAGCATAGCAGCTCTACTCCCAATACATATATATATATATATATATATATGCATCAACAAGAGAACAAACGACAAGAGGGTCATACAGGAAGAGAGTGCATAAAATGAGCTCAAAAACAGACACAAATTTGGTTTTTAATCCACCTAAATTAGAGGAAGAACAGGATCGAGGTGAATGTGTTCTCTATATAAAAAGAAGAGAATGATCAACCTTATTATTATTGTTGTTATTACTATTATTGGATTATTATTTTATTTTATTATTATTATTATTACTATCTATATAATAAGAACACGAGAACACAATGGATAGGCAACAATAAATACTGAGAGTTATAATCCCTGCTCTCCCTCGCCTCCACACAAACACACACCACAAACACACACACACACAACAAAAGAAAACAAACCAAAATCCAACTATGAAGTATTTGCAGTTAAGGATGAATTTTGCATTACTTTGTGTTGAATTAGCGTAACAAAATGTTGTTTTGGCGGTTGACAATAATGCCGTTCCGGTACTTGTTCTACCCATAATTGACGTTCACCTAATGAGTTAGACCAAGTACCTTGGAGAAAGAAAGAAGAAGCAGGAAGAGCAGCACATAATCAAAAAATAACAAAAACAGTGTTAAGAAAGTAAACGGATGTATGCAGGAAATATATATATATATGATGTAAAAATATTTTTATTCCTTTACGTTCCCAGTGGAAAATAGAGCTTCAAGCTAGAACTTTGAAGTTTCGATAGTAGTGATTTCATTTTTACAGGGTGAGGTTGATAGCCTCATGCCCAGCTTTCTCTCTCTACCGGTCTTATTGCCGGCTTAACGAGGTTTAGGAGTGCGCCGGCCGCGGATCGAACCCCAGACAGTATACATGGTTGGCGAGGATTCTACCGCTCGTAGACGTAATTTAACGAACAAGATAACAGGGCTGAATCCAACCACATTTATCGAGTTCTGTGGAATTAAGGATTAACAAAAATTCCTGTTCTAACAGATGTACTTCCAATCCATATACACTCAGGTCTTGATATCAGTGAAATGGATTACATAAATTAACTGACTGACATGTGAATAATATCAGTAGAGAAGATATTATTCCATACAGACTATATACTACTGATTGATTGAAATGAGTAGTTGTGTACCTCTCACAGCAACTAGCAATAATTGCTAGCCAGCTAGTGTAATGGACGAATTGTCTTGAAAATCCCTCCTGGATGATCTGTTTATAATATTCATACTTATTTAGATGTTTCAACTAACCTTGTAATCATTATATGTTTTTTCCCTAGATTGTGTATCCTAAATTTGACACTTGCATATCACTTTTGACTTTGACTTCTATTATTTGCTTTTGTTCTTGTTTAATCTTTAATTGTAATTACTTCTCTTTGTGGTTGTGTGAATACTGACAGTGTGTTCTTTAACAATATGAGTTTGTTTGAGTGAATGAAGGTCATTCCAAACCAGGACTGTCTGCGGGAAGCGTTGGTGTGTGATTTTTGTAGACAGAGCTTTTGATCCCACCACCTCGTTAGGAATATTCTCCTTGATTCTACGGTAACTTTTTACAGTTGAACTTTGGTGAATTAGTTTTGTCTTATAGTAGTTGTTCTGTACATAGAAACCTACATTACCTGTGTACATCTGCCTCTAGGGCACTGTTGAGGTAAATTTGAGTTTTGATTTTTTTTAATTAACTGTTTTTAATAGGACCGCCAAAATATTGAAGAATGATCGTTTTTTCCCTGCCTTTGGAACGTTTCATGAGATACCGCGTGTCTCATCAAGATCGGTGGTTTCTTGCAGCTACACATCGAAGCGGTCTAAACAAAGGACAGTCGTTTCGCTTGTTTCAGACCGGGCTCATCAGCGGTGTACCTGGTTAGATTCAACTCAGAGAGGCGAGTCAGTGAAACCACTTGATTTCTCGCCAGCCATCTACTAAGGTGAACTAGTAACACACCTTCAATCATTTCCACTATTTCCAATTTACACAGTTCGAGGAGGTGAAATTTTGTCACAGTTTCTTCTGGAAACCGAAATTGTTTAGATCACAATAGCCAGAAATCGGAAGTTTAGAGGTAGTAACTCGGCTATCCAACGTGAGTCAAACCAAGTACACCGCGCATCAGGAAGATCACATATATATATTGTAATCTGATTGTGGTGAAATCACAAATCAGACTGTGTCAACTGCAAAAGAATCTGAAAATTGCGAATTTGATTTAGGATATTATTCCTCAGAGAAAAATTAACCTCTTTAATAATGAAAACCTGATAGAAAACGAAGAAAACCGAAACGGAATTTTGTACAACTCAGGCGAAATACAAATAGAACTCTAAGTACATCAAATAATTAAATAATTCCCATAGGAGCATTAAGAACACAACTTTCAGCGAAGAGACTCTTTTCAACGAATTTATTATCAAGCTGTACAATCGAATATATACGGTTTTTAAGAAATTATATCCGGTGAGGGAATTAGATCAAAAGTGTGAATACATGAAATAATAATAATAGTATGAAATGCAATTAAAATATTTGTGATTATAATCATAGTTTAATGTCAAGTGGCAAAATAATTAATGTCGTATATAGAATAATACATAAGGTGTATAGATTTTGGAAAGGGGTACATAATTATAAGATTAGTAGACGAATATAAAATGTTACATAACATGGTGTGAAATTTGATAAGATAGAATTCAATATTGTAAAAATAAAAATATAAAAAATTAATAATTTTGGGTTTAAAATGTCAAGTGGGTCAAGTGGAAAAGATTCAGAGTGAGAATGGTAATAATAATAATGATAATAATATTAATAATAATCGTAGTAATAAGGGAAGAGTACATAGAATAACTAAATAAACAAAATAAATAAATGTCTATCCCTCTACGGCCAAGGCAGAAGTAGGGATTGTACATACTTCTTTTGTACACAAAGGTCTGGCTTAAAGTCATGAATTGCCAAGGCCTCAGCTGTCTTTAGAAGTCTGTAACGAAGAAAACGCGGGAAGTTAGCATGGATTCTATGTATGATCTTAAAATCATGGTCAGGGTTGACAGAGTGACAGAAGTCGATCAGGTGTTCCAAAATAGAACTTCGCACACACTTCCTTTCTCCCTTGTAAAACCATGCTGGAATATGTTCTCGTATCCGTGTGGAAAGCGTCCTCTGACTACGGCCAATGTACCTTGCTCCACAAGAGCAGGTGAACTGATAGATGCACATGGAGGCGGCCAGACGGGGGAGCTTATCTTTTACAGGGGTAGAGAACAACTTGCGGCTAGTGAACGTCATATGTAATTTTGCTGCATGGAACGTCTTACTGACTGATTTAGAGAGACGATTTTTGAGCATATCTGAAGCTTGATCACCTTTGAATTCCAAGTTCATGAATAAGGTTTTCTTTGGAACTGTGTCGGTGACCAGTTTAGACTGCTTATCTTTCATGTTGCTGTCAATAAATCGGTTAGGGTAACCGTTTTCTGCGAGCGTGGCTTTTAGAAGTCAAGTTCCGAGTCAACGGAATCAGAACTACAAATTTTCCTTATCCTAGAGCAGAGCGAATGAATTAAGTTCCTTTTCCTGGAAATAGGCACCCAACTGTAAAAATTAGTTAGTTGTCCGTTCCATGTACGTTTCCGGTGGATAGATCTTCTGAGAGATCCGTCATTACGTCTGCTAAGGCACACATCAAGAAAGGGAATACTTAGTTCGGATTCCTTTTCTACGGTGAATTGTAAAGAAGGATGGCAGTTGTTGAAAGTAAACAAGACATCATCAAGAATTACATTTTTATCGCAGATAACGAAAGTGTCGTCTACGTATCTTTTATAAATGTCAAAATGACCGATGGTTTGACTAAGTTGAGAATTTTCAAGCTTTGCCAGAAAACAATCATCAGTGGAAAACTTATATGATGATGATGCATGACGGCGGTCTGCTTGAACATAGGGCTACCAAAAATTCCACCTTACAACATTTTGCAAAATTGCTTTGGTTTGCTCTTTTAATTTTGTTTTAATTTATCAATAATGTGTCCTAATCGTATTATGTATAATCGCGCATTTTTAAAATCATTACAACCTACTGCGTTGTGTCATCCACAAAAATTGAGAAAAAAGCATCACTGTGGATGGTAGCGTGCACTGAAACGTACACAAATTAATCAAATGACTGTTCCTGAACTCATTAGCACTAATTGTAGATCCCTGTCCAACAACATAGATTATTTTCAATCCCTAGTGTATCCTAATGTTTATCGAAATGCTGGCGTTTTAGCAATACAAGGGACTTGGCTGCACCAGCATTATGATGATAATCTAGTTTCCATAAATGGATATAAAGTTTTTCGCCAAGATAGAAAAAGTTCCAAGAAAAAATATGGAGGAGGGGTAGCCACTTTTATAAACACAAGTTGGTCTACATCAAATCACGTTTGCTTCAATTATTCCAATGACAATATAGATTGCATAACCGTCAGGTGTCGTCCAAAAGACTTAAGCAAATATTCTTATACATACATAACAAATATTTACATAACACCCAATTGTAGCCTTTCTAATATAGTTATGTTTGCAGATGAATTTACTGAATTCGCTACTCCTGCATTCGGGAACTTGTTGTCTATAGTCTGTGGTGATTTTAATTCATGTGATTATTGCTTTCTTACTTCACTTGGTCATGAGTATCTAGTCAAGTTTAATATAACACGTCTGGACTATAGACAACAAGTTCCCGAATGCAGGAGTAGCGAATTCAGTAAATTCATCTGCAAACATAACTATATTAGAAAGGCTACAATTGGGTGTTATGTAAATATTTGTTATGTATGTATAAGAATATTTGCTTAAGTCTTTTGGACGACACCTGACGGTTATGCAATCTATATTGTCATTGGAATAATTGAAGCAAACGTGATTTGATGTAGACCAACTTGTGTTTATAAAAGTGGCTACCCCTCCTCCATATTTTTTCTTGGAACTTTTTCTATCTTGGCGAAAAACTTTATATCCATTTATGGAAACTAGATTATCATCATAATGCTGGTGCAGCCAAGTCCCTTGTATTGCTAAAACGCCAGCATTTCGATAAACATTAGGATACACTAGGGATTGAAAATAATCTATGTTGTTGGACAGGGATCTACAATTAGTGCTAATGAGTTCAGGAACAGTCATTTGATTAATTTGTGTACGTTTCAGTGCACGCTACCATCCACAGTGATGCTTTTTTCTCAATTTTTGTGGATGACACAACGCAGTAGGTTGTAATGATTTTAAAAATGCGCGATTATACATAATACGATTAGGACACATTATTGATAAATTAAAACAAAATTAAAAGAGCAAACCAAAGCAATTTTGCAAAATGTTGTAAGGTGGAATTTTTGGTAGCCCTATGTTCAAGCAGACCGCCGTCATGCATCATCATCATATAAGTTTTCCACTGATGATTGTTTTCTGGCAAAGCTTGAAAATTCTCAACTTAGTCAAACCATCGGTCATTTTGACATTTATAAAAGATACGTAGACGACACTTTCGTTATCTGCGATAAAAATGTAATTCTTGATGATGTCTTGTTTACTTTCAACAACTGCCATCCTTCTTTACAATTCACCGTAGAAAAGGAATCCGAACTAAGTATTCCCTTTCTTGATGTGTGCCTTAGCAGACGTAATGACGGATCTCTCAAAAGATCTATCCACCGGAAACGTACATGGAACGGACAACTAACTAATTTTTACAGTTGGGTGCCTATTTCCAGGAAAAGGAACTTAATTCATTCGCTCTGCTCTAGGATAAGGAAAATTTGTAGTTCTGATTCCGTTGACTCGGAACTTGACTTCTAAAAGCCACGCTCGCAGAAAACGGTTACCCTAACCGATTTATTGACAGCAACATGAAAGATAAGCAGTCTAAACTGGTCACCGACACAGTTCCAAAGAAAACCTTATTCATGAACTTGGAATTCAAAGGTGATCAAGCTTCAGATATGCTCAAAAATCGTCTCTCTAAATCAGTCAGTAAGACGTTCCATGCAGCAAAATTACATATGACGTTCACTAGCCGCAAGTTGTTCTCTACCCCTGTAAAAGATAAGCTCCCCCGTCTGGCCGCCTCCATGTGCATCTATCAGTTCACCTGCTCTTGTGGAGCAAGGTACATTGGCCGTAGTCAGAGGACGCTTTCCACACGGATACGAGAACATATTCCAGCATGGTTTTACAAGGGAGAAAGGAAGTGTGTGCGAAGTTCTATTTTGGAACACTTGATCGACTTCTGTCACTCTGTCAACCCTGACCATGATTTTAAGATCATACATAGAATCCATGCTAACTTCCCGCGTTTTCTTCGTTACAGACTTCTAAAGACAGCTGAGGCCTTGGCAATTCATGACTTTAAGCCAGACCTTTGTGTACAAAAGAAGTATGTACAATCCCTACTTCTGCCTTGGCCGTAGAGGGATAGACATTTATTTATTTTGTTTATTTAGTTATTCTATGTACTCTTCCCTTATTACTACGATTATTATTAATATTATTATCATTATTATTATTACTATTCTCACTCTGAATCTTTTCCACTTGACCCACTTGACATTTAAAACCCAAAATTATTAATTTTTTATATTTTTATTTTTACAATATTGAATTCTATCTTATCAAATTTCACACCATGTTATGTAACATTTTATATTCGTCTACTAATCTTATAATTATGCACCCCTTTCCAAAATCTATACACCTTATGTATTATTCTATATACGACATTAATTATTTTGCCACTTGACATTAAACTATGATTATAATCACAAATATTTTAATTGCATTTCATACTATTATTATTATTTCATGTATTCACACCTTTGACCTAATTCCCTCACCGGATATAATTTCTTAAAAACCATATATATACGATTGTACAGCTTGATAATAAATTCGTTGAAAAGAGTCTCTTCGCTGAATATTGTGTTCTTAAGTACATTAAAAACATTTTTCTTCTGATGGATATTGGTTTACAAGAATCTACTCAAAATTTCAAACCCATTTTCGGAAAAGAATTCACTAGATAAAGTTTCTGTGTCGGTAGTTCAATGGTTGAATGGTCGCCAACAACTCACACAGTCCAGGATCTGATTCCTGGACCCCACAACCCGAAACCTCGCCTAGTTTATTATCCAGTTGTAAGCCTAGAAAAGACAGGATGTTGGACTTGAAACTAGCAAACTCACCCCATAAAAACAACACCATTACTGAAACCAAAATAGCTTGAAGCCCTATCCATTCAGAACGCATGGAATAAAAAATGATGTTCCTTAATCCATGTCTCTACTTGACTGTCCCGTTTGTCTTCATAAATTATATTTCCGACAGAATTTCCATCGCTAACTACATAATGGTCCGTGGGACTACTTTTGATGGCTCTAGATTAGTAGACTGTGCATCGGTGGCACAGTGGTTAGAACTCTGGTCGACCATGCACATACTCCAGGGTTCAATCCGCTGCCTGATATCTATGGTCGGCCTATAGAATTTGGGCTACCGATATCACATACTGAAAATTCCATACCTGTACCACAATACGGTGCGGAATCAAGGTGTTATCAAAAGTATAATAAAATAAAAGTAATATGGGTGTTAATTCCTTTCCAGCATGTCCTTAGTTATTCTTTCTTTTGTGTTCAGCATTATACTACTTACCCGTAGTAAGTAGTAAGCGTTTAATACATATATTACTCTATGACAATGACTGTTGTTTGTCATTGACGCTTAACTCAATTAACGTATTAATGCTCCATTTCATATATATTACTCATTTTCATACAGCTAAACATTATTCGCCGTATATGCTTTATTTATATGCTCTTCTCTGTTAAACATTGTACATTTGAATCCCTTTATTCTTTGTCTGACATTCGCGCGCTATTTGAACTGACACAGCTTTGCTCTTTTTCTTATTGACTCACAGTGACTGTACGTTTGACAGCATTCAGCTACGGATACTTCACAATTTGAGGTTTATATAATATTACATTTCATTATATGGTGAATAATATAGTATCGTATTTTAGACAAATTCTGTGTTCTTGGATTTTAAGCGTCACATAACGTGTGGTTTAATGATTAGATTGGAATTATTGCTCTGAATTTCCTAGAAGAAATCTACGATAGGATGATTAGAAGTACAGTGAACACTTGGTTTGTAGTCGTTTTCAAACCAGTAGGCTCCGGATTACAAGCCATAGACTTTTTATTGCTAACAATCTATTTCAAGGCGTTTGGTTGAACATTCAACTCAGTTAGGCTTGATTTTTTCCCTAATTTCATACGTTCCGTGTGGAATATAAGGCTTCAAATCGTAGAAGTTTAAAAAACGTTTAATTGGTGGATGGTGACTAGCAGTGGAATCCAGGATGCGCAGATAGATGTACCTGCATTTCTCAGTGAGTGATGATGTTCCCACCGAGGCTCGAACCCAGTGCCTATAGTTCGACGAAGCATCTGCACAAGAAGCCGACATGTCAACCTGAGACCGAGCACTTCGGTCCAATCAATCGACGGGAAAATCTAAAATTCAATTAAATTTAAACAACGTTGTTGTTTTTATGGGCTGGGATTGCTAGCCTCACATACCTAACCTTCCCTCTTTTCGCGCTTACAACTGTTAAGTAAACTAGACAAGGTTTTTAGTAGTGCGTCAGTCAGGAGTCAAACCCAGAGAGCTCCTATGAGGTTAGCAAGCATCATTCTTTGAACCACAGAGGATATCATACAGTCGTATAAATTTTAAAAAATTTCATCAGCTGATAACAATGACCATATTGTAGAACCAAAAACCATCCTATTTAATAAGGTTTAACAGTATCTTCAGTCATTAAGGAGATTAACTTTAATTAATAAGAAAGTAAGCTCTCCTTGTAACCAGAAGGTCCTGGGTTCGAACCCCGGTGGGTGCGTACTGATGAAGAGTCTCAAACTAGGACGAAACAGCTGTCCAGTACTCCCAGGTTTTCCAATGGTTCTCTAATCAATGTCAGCTCATGATGAAATCCTCTAACCAATCAAATCCCTACAAACCAACATTTAAAAAATGAATATGATAATTATTTTTAATGCAAAGAAACACTTACTATATGAACTCAGTCCCAGGTAGGTAGCTATTGAATGAACTAACAATCTTTGAAATGAATCCAGGCATAGGAAATTAGAGTGTGTTACACGATTGCCAGTGTTGCTATTATTACTGTTACTTGAAGATTCTATTGACTGAGATGATATTAACGATAATGATGGAGTCCAACGTTTTGCAATATTATTCACTTGATCTCTTTGAAAAAAATGCTGTCTTAACTCTAATTCTACTCTTTTTAATAAACAAATATCAATAGGAGTAAGAGCACGTTTAACACGTTTTCGATTGGTTTTTGAATTATGCGAATTCGGTGAATTTGATAATAATGATAGTAGACGAGTAGGAATATGTTGTTCAATCTCTAGACGACATTCATCGGAAAGAGCATTAGCGTTTAAATTGTAAGTATCTTCTTCAGATTTTGAAGATTCACCTGTGTAGAGAGAGCAAAGGAGAATAGAGATGAAGTGAATAAGCTTAAAACTGTATATAACTATATATTTTCGTAGTGTAATTTCAGTAAGAAGACCTTTACAACTACAAACTTGATTGAATTGATTGATTGACTCAATGCAAAGATGGAAAACAGAAGGAGAAGCTCTAGGTTTAATGCACACTGCACTGAATAAAGAAGTCAAGAAGAGTGCTAGGGAAGACAAAAGACAATTTTGCGACACTTTGACTGGCAACTGAAAGAGAACAGGCAGGATGCAGGTAAAAGAGACCTCAGAACATTTTATCAGATAAACATGGGAAGAGATCACCTGAAGTTGAAACCAATAAAAGATGTTCAAGGGAACCTGATTACCAAGGAGGAGAAACAAATAAAACATTTGGCTGATCATATCAAAGGACTCTTGAATCGACCATCACCTGCAACTCGGCCAGAAATACCACCAACAGCACGCACAGAACTGCCTGTCAGTGGACACCAATCCTCCAACGAAAGCAGAAATCTTGAATGCGATCAAGCTACTGAAATCCGGGAAGGCAGAAGGATCAGATGGAATTTCCACCGAAGCACTGAAAACGGACCCAGAGACTGCGGCAGATGTTCTCACACCATTATTGCAAAAGGTTTAGAAGGAAGGAAAGGTACCTACCAATTGGAAAAAAAGCTACCTTGCCAAGCTGCCAAAGAAGAGCCTAGCGTGGAATAATGCTCTTCTCCACGCGAGGTAGAATATTAATTCGCATCATCCTGGAGAGAATAAAAGATGCACTGGATACACAGAAAGGATTTCCAACAAGTTACAAACTTTGTCAACAGCAGCTTTTACTGTCGCCATACTAAAGATGAAATGGCCAACGAGAAAGAATTAACAACTAGAACTTCTGGCCGGCAACAAACCAACCAAGAGCCGATCGCTCAACAAATATGTAGGAGAAAATGGAGATGGATCGGGCATACGTTGAGAAGGCCATAGAATAACATGGAGCGCAATGCAGGCCATCGCTCGTGTGGATTCCAAATGGGGAACGGCGAGCTGGTCGTCCGAGGGTGACACGGAGGAGATCATGTGATGACAAGATCAGAGATTATGGGCAATCGTGGACCCGGCTGAAGAGGACAGCGGAAAATAGAACAAATTGGAGACGTGTTGTTGAAGCCTTATGTTCCACTCGAAACTCAAAGGAATAATAATAATAACATCAAGTAATCAGTTTACTTTGTGAAGATAAAAAAAACACAAAAGTACTCAATGAATAACACTTCTTTGAGTTACACCTACTCAGTGCAAGATCAGCCTCCAATAAATTCACAGTATTCTTATTCTTTTTTCCACGTGAAGCATGTTTATGCCGTCGACAACGATGCTTTGTACTGCGTTTAGGAGAAGTCTGAGGTGGTGTAAAAGTACAGACCATATCATTTGCAACTTCATCGTAATCACTAATACCACCGGCTTCTTCATCATCATCATCGTCAAAATCATCATCTTCACTTTCTATACGAAGTGATTTCAGTAGCTTTTCTTGTTCCCTTTCAGAGAGTTGGATAAATTTCTCCCATACTTCCCGAATACTAAAACAACATAAGAGAACAAATACATCTTATGACATTAACACAATACTTTTAATAAGATTTATTATATTTTACTTTTCAGTTAAAGATTGTTTGTCCGATCACTATAAAGATGAAACAAAATGAAAAGAAAAAAAATCATAGAGCTTACTTGAATAAACACATTGGATTGAATTGTTACAAACCTTAAAAGTCTTTTTTTATCAACTAGGTTCGATCCCCCAACAGATGCAATTCTGAACCTCACCTAGTTCAGTTGCATTGGTGGTTTACAGGTAGAATGTTTTCCAAGTATGTAGCGCACGTGGTCCGAAGTTCGATTTCCAGGCAGCGCATACCTTTACCTCCATTTAGCCGGTTGTAAACCCGATAAACTAAGGGAGGGAGGGACGTGAGTCTAGCAACCACACACTGTAAAAAAACAACACTACTCATGCTTGAAGCTATATATACATATATATATGCACATATGTGCGGCAGTTCAAGTCGCCACACTCCCTCCTTGTAGCACACAAAGCAAGAGAAGAAAGTAGGAGAAATGCATAATAGAGACAGTAAACAGAGGTGTGAGACAAAGGAATAGTAATAACAAAGAACAAAACAGTTTAATTGGAAATCATAAGTCACAAGGAGTGGATGCATCTGCGCTAGCCATTGAGAACGATTTTCAGCCATGTCACCAATTGTTTCCAACCATTGGTTTTTACAGTCCGGAGGACCCCAACCAGGAAGTCTACACCTTCCTACATGGCTTAGACTAACTGTTGTCGATTTCATTGACTGGTGCCATGTTTTGGTTTGACGGCCGCTAGCTCTTTTCCAGCCTGACCCTATATCAGCCAAAATTGCCCGTGGAGGAAGGCTATGACTAGGCATACGCAGCATGTCCTAACCATCTCAGTCGATGTAATTTCACAGCCTCGTCGATTGATTTCCCCTCCTTATCTAGCCCTCGACGCCTAACCTCAATATTGCTCACTTATTATACCACTTCACACGGGAGATAGAACGCAAACACCTATGATCAAAGACAGCTAGCCAGGCTTTTCATGTCTTCCACTCTCAATGGCCAGATCTCACAGCCATAAAGGAGGACGGAGCGGACTGATGAGCAGAACACACGCCCTTTGGTAGACAGTTTGCCAGAAATCACGTCTACGCCAGAGACGGTGTAAACTGGCATATGCGGAACTAGCCCTATGTATCCGTGCTGAGATTTCGTCAGAGATCAACCCGTTGGCACTGCCTAATGCAACTTCCCAAGTAAGTGAAGCGGTCAACGTGCTCTACCACTTCACTTCCTATTTCTAATCTAGGAGTCGGTGTAGTCCAATCCTGTAACATCATCTTGTATATATATGGTGACATTTTAACATATTTGTGTATGTGCACAGGAATGAGAGAGAATACATACGAAATGTAGGTACTTTACAGAATTAAATTAGTTTGTTACTAAGTATTTAACTTTTTTTAATGAACGATCTAATTATAATCAATATATATGTGCAGATTAGCTACGTCAGATACATACTTTTAATTATGATAATGGTTAAACACATCAATATTATTATCGTTATTAATAGGCGGATTAAAATCTAACCTACGCAAAATCTCTGTCAAATCTCAATAATTAGTTTTGTTTTCCTGTTGTTGTTTTTTTCGTGCTGATATGATATATATATGATAATAAATAATTTCAATTATTACGTTTTCTTACGAATTAACATCAGTTAAGGAGATCATTTCATTGAAAACTATGTAGTCTGTCTGTCTGTCAGTTTTCGACATAGAACTCTGCACATATGTGCGGCAGTTCAAGTCGCCACACTCCCTCCTTGTAGCACACAAAGCAAGAGAAGAAAGTAGGAGAAATGCATATTAGAGACAGTAAACAGAGGTGTGAGACAAAGGAATAGTAATAACAAAGAACAAAACAGTTTCATTGGAAATCATAAGTCACAAGGAGTGGATGCATCTGCGTTGGCCATTGAGAACGATTTTGAGCCATGTCACCAATTGTTTCCAACCATTGGTTTTTACCGTCCCGAGGACCCCAACCAGGAAGTCTACACCTTCCTACATGGCTTAGACTAACTGTTGTAGATTTCATTGACTGGTGCCATGTTTTGGTTTGACGGCCGCTAGCTCTTTTCCAGCCTGACCCTATATCAGCCAAAATTGCCCGTGGAGGAAGGCTATGACTAGGCATACGCAGCATGTCCTAACCATCTCAGTCGATGTAATTTCACAGCCTCGTCGATTGATTTCCCCTCCTTATCTAGCCCTCGACGCCTAACCTCAATATTGCTCACTTATTATACCACTTCACACGGGAGATAGAACGCAAACACCTATGATCAAAGACAGCTAGCCAGGCTTTTCATGTCTTCCACTCTCAATGGCTAGATCTCAGAGCCATAAAGGAGGACGGAGCGGACTGATGAGCAGAACACACGCCCTTTGGTAGACAGTTTGCCAGAAATCACGTCTACGCCAGAGACGGTGTAAACTGGCATATGCGAAACTAGCCCTATGTATCCGTGCTGAGATTTCGTCAGAGATCAACCCGTTGGCACTGCCTAATGCAACTTCCCAAGTAAGTGAAGCGGTCAACGTGCTCTACCACTTCACTTCCTATTTCTAATCTAGGGGTCGGTGTAGTTCAATCCTGTAACATCATCTTGTATATATATGGTGACATTTTAACATATTTGTGTATGTGCACAGGAATGAGAGAGAATACATACGAAATGTAGGTACTTTACACAATTAAATTAGTTTGTCTAAGTATTTAACTTTTTTTAATGAACCATCTAATTATAATCAATATATATATATGCAGATTAGCTGCGTCAGATACATACTTTTAATTATGATAATGGTTAAACACATCAATATTATTATCGTTATTAATAGGCGGATTAAAATCTAACCTACGCAAAATCTCTGTCAAATCTCAATAATTAGTTTTGTTTTCCTGTTGTTGTTTTTTTCGTGCTGATATGATATATATATGATAATAAATAATTTCAATTATTACGTTTTCTTACGAATTAACATCAGTTAAGGAGATCATTTCATTGAAAACTATGTAGTCTGTCTGTCTGTCAGTTTTCGACATAGAACTCTGCACATATGTGTGGCAGTTCAAGTCGCCACACTCCCTCCTTGTAGCACACAAAGCAAGAGAAGAAAGTAGAAGAAATGCATATTAGAGACAGTAAACAGAGGTGTGAGACAAAGGAATAGTAATAACAAAGAACAAAACAGCTTCATTGGAAATCATAAGTTACAAGGAGTGGATGCATCTGCGCTAGCCATTGAGAACGATTTTCAGCCATACCACCAATTGTCTCCAGCCATTGGTTTTTACCGTCCCGAGGACCCCAACCAGGAAGTCTACACCTTCCTACGTGGCCTAGACTAACTGTTGTAGATTTCATTGACTAGTGCCATGTTTTGGTTTGACCGCCGCTATGTACTATGTAGTACTAGATAGTTGTTTCGTCCTATTTTAGGGGACTCTTCATCAGTGCGTACTCACCAGGGATCGAACAAGGCACCTTCAGCATACGAAACCAAGCTAGTTGATTAATCAGACACTTGGGTAGAAAGCAGTTCAGTGACCTATGAATTCTAATTTGATCAGCTCATGCGTGATATAGAGTTACACCCTCGAGAATCCTTTGGACGAGCATCCACTTCATCGACTGTTCACGACTTTCCACAACCACTTCATGACGTCCAACCATCCAGTGTAGTCATCAAGTGAGCTGGAGATTGATATTTAGCATTATCGAATTTGGATTAATTTAATTTCGATTACTAGTTTTTGTTACGAACCAATAATAGTTAGCGAAACATTTTGAGACCAAAAATTACTGGAAAATTGTTTCATCCCATTTTGGGGAGGGGCTCTTCAGCAGTGCTCCCTTGTTTTCAGTCATCTCTTTAGTTGACCCATAATATAAATAATATTTGAATAAATCTCAAAGAAATTGAAGCAAATAACGCTTCACTCGGTTGACTGGTCTAAATATTTTCAAAATTAAAATATCCAAAGCATTTATAAAAGACATATCTTGTCTTCAAAATTGCTTGTTGTATCATGTGTGAGTCATCAATAGTTATCATCAAGTACAAAATAAAGGGAACTGCATGAATTGTGATCAAGATTTGACCAGATTATTTGACAAACTAAATAGTATGTACTTTTGTTTTTATTTAACTGAGTAATTGTCATGATCTTTATTTTATTATTGTTAACCATGTTAGTTGTAAAGCGGTTGTAAAGAAACTACGAAATGATATCATCTCGCGAAATTTGTCTTCTTAATGCCTTATTCAAACTAAATAATCTTTGATTTGGTTGGAGGATTACATAATGAGCTGTGACGAGGAAGAAAAGAGGGAAAATCAATAGATCAGTTTGTAAAGTTACATCGACATGTGTTACGCATGCCTACCCATCACCTTCCTCCACGGCCCACGTTAGCTGCTGACATGGGATGGATCAAGTTGGAAAAGTTACTTAGTGATGGTCAAACCAAAACATGGCTTCATCAGTCAATCAAATCCGCATCAGCTAGTTTAAGCCAGCCAGCTAGCCACGTAGGAAGGTGTAGACTTTTCGGCTGGTTGGGGTCCTCGGGACTGTAAAAACCAATGAAGGCTGGAGACAATCGGTGATGCGGTTCAAAATCATTCTCAATGGCGCAGATGTATCCACTCATTGTGGCTTATAATAACCAATAAAACTATATCGTTCTTCGACAATACTATTCTTTTGGCTTCATATCTTTGTTTACTGTATCTATTTTGCATTTCCTTTTACTTTCTTCTCTTGCGTTGTGTGCTGAGTGAAGTGTGGCGACTTAAACTGCTGCACATTGGTGCAAAGTTCTATGTAAGTCAGTCACATCATGAGCTGACATCGGTTAGAGAACCACTGGAAAACCACAGAGTGCTGAACATCTGTTACATCTTGGTTTGGGACACAA